ATCATCCCAACAGCAGTAGCTTAGAAATCACACAGAACAATGGGAATAGCACAGGGATACGTGTGGGTGCTTGACCCTCCACAGCTCCAGCTCAGGGCCACAGTGCCTCGCTGCCCTTTTCCAGACAGCTCAGCTCCCTGCACAACCTGCCCAAGGAAGGGCTTTAAAATCTGGACTAATTACCCATGGCAAAGCGCAGTCCTGTCTGGGATCAGCCTGCAAAGGGCAGGCAGGGTTCAGCTGAAACCCCGACAGCCCTGCAGTTCATCTGCACATGGGACAGGATCTGAAACCAAGCCAGTGCCACCTGAGGTCTCCCCTGGTGCTCCAACACCCAGCGTGTAATTAGATTTCCAGGCTCCCCCCAGGAGGCAAAAGCTCCTTAGTAGGAAGAAGCTCTGAGGCTCCCAGGGAAGTAACAACAGCTCTGGGAGCACGTGCCTGGGTTCCACCAGCTTTCCTTCCATTCCTGCCAGGACAAAGCCCGGGGCCACAGCACCTGGTTAGTGTAGCTGGGAACAGACAGCAGCACTTGCCTAAAATGGGCTTTCCAAAGGATGTTTTAGCAACAAAAGCAACTTGTTCCAGCCCTGGACTTGCCAGACTCTATATATAGCAGAGAGCAAAATAGCTCTTCTTGTCCCTAAAACTCCCATGGGCCCCTCAGTTTCCCATTTCTCCCAGCTGTGGGACATGGCTGGGACACAGCTCAGAGAACAGGGCTGGCTCAGGGCAGGTTGTGCTTCCCAGAGGAGTTGGGGCAGCTCCCGGGAGGGCAGGATTGTTTGGGGTGTTCAGGGATGCTCCTGGGGACCCAACACACTGTTCTGAAGGTACAGCCTGGCTGATTTTTCAGTGCCATGTGTCTTTCCTGCTCTGCAAGCCATCCCAGGCAGGGCACTGGCTGGTCAGGAAGCATTAGCCTCAAATCCGAAGGCTGTCCTGAGCCCGGCACAGTGCCTGACTCACTCTCCTCCACGGATAAGCCAACTGTTCCTTACTCAACCGTGATGCAGCTCCTCTCTCCCTATGACTCCATGTGCCAGGAATAGCTCCTCAGCCTGCACCTCGGGAACGGGAGATGCTGCAAATCAGCAGCATTACATGGGAATTCTCATGCCTGTGGAACTCCAGCCCAAGGAAAAGACTCACTGTTGAAGGCACAGTGAGAGCAGAGTTGAAGTTCCTCTGGCTGTGATTTTGGCTCAGTGCTGGTGCGCCTCACATCCCCGAGAAATATAAAACATCCAATGGTATCCGGGGTTTGGGCTTCCTGGCTGCAGGACATCATCCCTTTGGCTGTGCTGACACCTGTAAGGGAGGTGAGACAGTGTCCAGAGAAGGGAAGGGTCCAGAAATTGGGAGCCACTGTCAGGCCCAGTCTGTCTAAAGGGTTTTCCACCCTCTGGCAGCTCAGCGGAGATGCTGCAGCCTCAGGGTAAAATCGGGAGTAGGGCAGGAAAATGAAAACCAGAGCTGGAGAAAATTCACCACCAATTAATGCTGAACCCAGTGGTCTGTGGTCCCACCTCAGGAGAAGCCACTCAGGGGAACTGAATCCCTTTGATTGCACTTATTCCAAATATGAGACAGTCAGGACCATGTTCTCATCTGTTGTAAATCCAAACTGTGTGATCTCAGAAAAGCTACACTGGAAGAGCAGGGGAGCAGGAAATCACTGTGTACCTTCAATGAGCAGCTGATCCTTCTGGTCTCAGAGCTTACAGGAGCCAGTGTCCTGTGATCTCACATGGCCTCTCAGGAAACAGGAATGATTTGATCTGTAATTTTATTTACAGGCTAATTTTGTTTGCTCTCTAAAGGCACAATTTCATATTTGTGAACAATAAAGGAAATATTCAAACATCTCGCACGTGATGCTTTTTCTTCCTAATGATGGCACAGGCAGGGCCTCCAATGCTAATTCCATAGAAACATCCCAATAGATCATCATTCCATGTCTCCACCCACATTTTTCCTGAACATTGCATGCTGCAGGAGGAAGAGTTATTATTCCATGTTCCGAGCAGACAGTGAACCTGAAACATCACTGTGGGAAGGTCTGTGGTGGCTGTCAGTCCTCAGGGCATCAAGAACTCACAGAAATCATGGAATGGTTTTGATTGGAAGAGACCTTGAAAATCACCCAGTGCCACCCCTGCCATGGGCAGGGACACCTTCCACTAGCCCAGGTTGCTCCAAGCCCTGTCCAACCTGGCCTTGGACACTTCCAGGAATGGGGCAATCACAGTTTCTCTGGGCAACATGTGCCAGGGCCTCATCAACATGTGACTGAAGTTCACTCTTGAGGTCAGGGGAGGTGAGGGAGTCAGGGAGTGATGTCTGGAGAATTCCTGCATGTCCTTTCCTGACATACACAAAAACACCGAACAACATCCCATCTCTGGCATCAGCACATTTCAGGAACTCTCAGTTCTCCACAAGGATCTCCTGTGACCCAGAACAAAGCTGGAAACACATCAAGGTATCAGGAAAGTTTCCCTCTGTGAGCCAACAGCAGCTCTGGCATTTGGGATGACTCCTGCCAGAGCTAAAGAAGCATTTGGGCAACACTCTCAGGGACATGGTGGGATCCTTGGAGTGTCCTGTGCAGGGCCAGGGGTTGGACTGGATGATCCTTGTGGGTCCTTTTGAATGTTCTGTGATTCTGAGAATGAACTTTAGAAATGCCTCAGGATGCCAAAAAGTAGCCACAGAAGAGCAAACATTTTCCCCAGCATTGCTTCAGGCACACCAACCATTCCATAGCTCCCAACTATTTCCATTCCTGGAAATAAGACTGCCCATCCCAGCGGCTGCACGAGCTGGGAGAGGGAAGATTGATGCATCTGGGATGAGAACACCCTGATTAGCACATGAAGGATTTGCTGCTCATTAGTCATTTTGACTCACACTTGAACAACCTCCTGTTTGTAAAATTCTTAGACATCAAAATAAGAGTATCAGTTACAGAGGAATAGTCAGGGCTGGGCACTTCATTAGGTTTTAGAAAAATCAGAGCTAAATGAAAAGTTTCTATTAAAAAGTAAATAGAAGGAAATCTGCCTGCCCTCAAGTCCAGACATATGTGGAGCTACCTGCTCCCAACACACCCAGGCAAGAGGCCAAACTGCTGGGGTTTAGCGTCCAAACTGAATTAAAATATGAAAATCAACTAAAGATTTAAGATAATCTAAAAAATCATAGAATCTTGGAATGGTTTGGGTTGGAAAGGGCCTTGAAGATCATCCAGTTCCAACCCCCTTCCATGGGTAGGGACACCTTCCACTAGACCAGGTTGCTCCAAACCCCATCCAACCCGGCCTTGGACACTTCCAGGGATGGAATATCCACAATATTTAGCTGTGATGAGGTTACTTACAATGAGAACAGGAATCCTGGACTTTTCTTTATGACCAAATACAAAAAAACACACAGAAAACGAGTCAGATCTGCAAAGTGCTGAGCCCACACTGTATCTCAAACCTCTGAACACCAAGACAAAAACACAAGGGAAAGTTATGACCCCTCCTAAACATCCCCCGGGACAGCCAAAACTTCTTTACTGAAAAAACTATTTATTTGTTTAACATAAAATATCTAATGTGGACTTCAACCATCCAGGACCAGGAACCAAAGAAATATTTTACAACAAGCTTGATATACACCAAGTTTTTCAACATTAAAATGTAAATCCAGCTTAGAAACTGTACATTCAGACACAGGAAACATTCAATGCTCTTTCGGCAAGAAGTTTGGAATAACAAATCATTCCATCAAAGCTCACTTGGAGAATTCTTTTCCCACGCCAGCTTGGCACGTTCATGACTTGGACAGTTGGCAAATCTGAATCCCAAAATTCTGTCTGAATTCCAAGTGATCTCACTTAACGGTTTGAAATGAAGCAGTTACAGGAATTCCTTCATCAGTGAAAAATACTCAGTGTGGAAAACAATCTTTGGAAGCTGATTTTCTACATAAATGGTGCTGCCTTATTGACAAAATTGATTTGTGGTTATTTAGAGGTGTTGTGTGTCCACCCAAATGGTCTCAGTTTTACAGTGAACAAGCTCAAATGTCCTTCTGTTCTTAATTATATGCAAATACCTGCAATTCCTGAATTTCAGCTCTGTTTCTCCGGCTGAATTCAGAGGATCAGCTGTAGTGGGCTCCTGTCTCCTTCTACTCAGCTCATGCAAAGGCCACAGATATGCACAGGAGTTCGTTCTCCCAGACTTTAGTGAGCTTTGGATCAAGCTTTAGGCATCACTTAAATCAAAGACCCAGCAGGACCAATCGTGGTATTTATATCATTAAACACATTTTTAGTGCAGAATTCGTAAAAGGTGAAAAGCAAAAATGCCTTTAACTGTTGTTTTTTCACACTGTAAATGTCACAGGCTAAAAGTGACCTATTCAACAGCATCAAAAGTTTGCATTCCCTATAAATCTTTAATGAGAAATAGTTTATCTGTAGGATCCAGGTGTGCACAAACAGATAAATTTTCCCTAAAACTCTCTGAAGGCTGTTGCAATTCTTCAAAACTGTTGAATAGTGGCCTAAGAACTGAAGTGAAACGTGACCATTAACATGGAAAAGCAGCGTTTTAACTAAAGGTAATGAATAACTCCTGTGCTGGGAGGTGGGTTCCTGCAGCCAGGGCTGTCCTGCACTTGGATTCTGTCACCTCTAACCAGGCTCAGCTCCAGAGGCCCCCCCCTGTTCTGGGGTTCACACCCACTGGGAATAGCTCAGGGCAATCCCACAAGGAGAGGGGCACAGGAGCACCTGGGAGAGTGACCCAACCCCAGCCCGGCAGAAGGGGGTGAACACAAAGGAGTTGTGGGTGTTGCCAGTGCCATGAGAGCCCTTCTGTTTACTGGGATCAACTGGAGCCTGAGCTCACAGGACACAGGGACAGTGGGGACAGAGAGAACCAACCCCGCTGGAACAGACAGCAGGATCTGTGCTGTCTCCCACACCTGATCCAGGGATCCCAGGGATCCCCGGGAGCTGAATTCATTTCTGTGTAGCTGGGAAAAGCCAACTTTGCCTGTTTACACCAACCACTCCTGGAATCTTCCACTGAGCCACCAGTGGGGACTGGATGGACACTACACTCTGGTGCCTTGGCAAACTGTGCCTGTTCCCAGAGACAGGCACACACCCACACACACAACACCAACAACCTCTTTGGCCTTTTTCCTTAGCCTGAGTTTCCTCAGGTTTTTTAAGGGATTATCCACTTCTGTTTTCCCTCCAGTTTCTGAACAATGAGCCTGACATGTGGTGGAGCATCACACAGTGCTGGGAGACCCCCAGTGACAGCTGAGCCCAACAGTGTTCACCTGTACTGCCCCCAAACATGGGCTCAGTGACCTATTCCTGCTCCCAGGAACAGGACCTGCTTCCCAGGATACCTAAAATATTCAACTGTGCAAAAATGTGCTGCACACTTACCTGTGTTTATGTGAGACACCTGATCAGACAGACTATGAAAACACATCCCAGGACGAGCACAGAGTCCATCTCCCTCACATTTGGTTGTGTTCCATAATCTGGAATCCTGAAAATACACTGGGACCTGGAGGAGGCACGTCTCAGATCCTCACACATTCCCATAGGCTCTGCAATGGGATTTCTTGCCCAGTGACAGGTTTCCGAGTTTGTCCTCACCTGAACTCCATGACATTCCCTGACAAGAGTAGGATCATCACCTCGAGGAGCCGAACCTGAGGGAGGGATGTTCCCCATCCAGGGGTCATTGCAGTTTGGCTCTTCCTGTGACTTTTGTTCCTTTTATGTCACAATTCCAGCTACATTCCTTTGTCACCAGTCAATGTACAATCAGCAGCTCTGGAAAAGTCCTGCCCAGCTGTCAGGAGGCCAACTTTTTTTGGGAGACACTTGGAAGCAACTCCATCCCAACAGCAGCTCTTCCAACTCAGATTCTGGCTACACTGTGGGAAGGTGCTCAGGTAAATGGAGCAGGGGCACACCTGGATCCATGGACAGAACCACAGCAGTGAGCACCTCCCCACACCAAGCAAGACAGAGAGCTCAAGGTTTCTGGCAATGTCAGAGAACTCAAATTCTGCTACAAACCATGAGGATTTAAAAGCTGGACTTGATGATCTTGGAGGTCTTTTCCAACCTTAATGATTCTATGATTTATATTTGTGATATAAGGTTTCAGCTCTGCAGCAAATACCACCCTCAGGGCTCCAACTACCTGCTGGGATGGGAGAAACATTCAGGAGTTCATTTCCAAGCAATCCTTCCCAGTTAAATCTCCAGGAACAGAACCCACAACCAGGGGAACTGCAAAGGTTGGTTTGCCAGAACCACATTTTGTTGTGTTTTTGATGGCTAAAAGTGCAAGGCAGGCATGTAATTCCTAGTGTAGTGTATGGAACCCATCCTGTGCAGGGCCAGGGACACAATAAATATCAACCTCTTGTTTTTAGGCTCAAGAGTTCAGTATTTAGTTACAGCTGATGCTGGGCTGCAGTCACTTGGTGATTTGCTTGGCACGGGACGTTTGAAGCTGAAGAGCTGACCATGCAAGCACAACAGAGAAACACCCTTCCTGCTAAACTCCAGAGGATGTCTGGATTAAATCCCTCTCCATACAGATGGAAAGTTTCTATGAGTGTGAGCAAAGAGCAGCAGAGACACAATTTGCTGAGGTTCACCCCCAGATTCCTGCAGTTTGACACGTGACGTTGGCAGTGACGAGGCTCAGCTTTCGATGCTTCAGGCTCGGAGGTTTTGTGAGAAATCTCGCTCCAGTCATTCGTTCTTTCCATGTGCCATCACTCCTGTGATTCCCCTGGGGAGTGAGATCCTCTCCCCACCATCTCCTGGCCCCATTCCTTGTGGCTGGACTCCTGGAGGCCACGGCCCTTCGTCTCGATGGGCAGGAAGCAGGAGGCCAGGGCGGCCAGGAGGCAGCAGCCGCTGTAAACCACCAGGGTCAGGTACACTGAGGATTCCAACATCACCTGCAGGAAACAGGCAGGAAAGGAACACAGGACCTCAGCAGGGAAACAAATATGGATACTGATGTAGTAGTAGAAATTTTAATTACAGCACTGGAAAAAAGATTAACAGCTTATAAAAAGGAAGGAGGGGGGCATTTTGTATGGGCAGATATTGGCAGGACAAGGGATAATGATTTAAACTCTCAGAGGGCAGGGTGAGATGGGATATTAGGAAGAAATTCTTCCCTGTGAGGGTGGTGGGGCCCTGGCACAGGTTGCCCAGAGTAACTGTGGCTGCCCCATCCCTGGGAGTGTTCATGGCCAGGTTGGACAGGGCTTGGATCAATCTGGTCTGGTGGAAAGAAAAGCAGGTTCTCCGTGACCTTCACAGAATTATGGAATTGTTAAAGTTGGAAAAGACCTCCCAGACCATTGAGTCCAACCTTCCTCCAACCTCAGACAAAAAGGGATTTTACCTGTGCAATGAAGGGGGTTATGAGGGCTCCCACTCTTGCCATTCCACTGCATGTTCCCAGGCCCAAAGCACGTGTGGCTGTGGGATAAACCTGGGGAGAAAACATCAGCCCATTAATGCCAGTAGGAAGTTCTCTTGCTTTCACTCCTAAATCAATGGAAATGACTAAGTGCTGCCACAGCAGGTTCTGTTAGACAATGACAATGAGATCTACAACTCAAATCTTGGCTGGAGTCCGTTGTGAGCAGGTCATCAAAATTACTTTCCCCCCCATGTTCTCACTCCCCGTAAATATTCTCATCACAAAAACAACCCCCTTACCTCAGGAGTGTAAACATAAGCAGCCTGAAATCCTCCTGAAATAAAGGCTCTTGCAATGAAGAGCAGCACAGTCAGAACATTCCTGGGAGAAGAAAGAGGAGAGCAGAGTTTGAGACTGTTTGGTACAATCTGCTGGGGGTTCACTTGGAGACAAGTGCAATAAAGATGCTAAATTTATTAGAACCATTTCTTTTGGCTTTTTAATGAACCCTTTGCATTTTTTTCTGGACCTTTTAATATAACAATGATGCCAAACAATCTGCATTCCCACAATCCCACGAATTTTCTAAATTTCCAACTGAGAGCTGGGGCCTACTGAAATAAAAATGATGTCCATGAGAAGGAAATGAGAGTCCACCTTTCCTGTTTAAAAGACATGAACCCAATTACCACCTGGATATGTGCAATTTTATAAGATTCCTTATTACAAGGTTTCTGTGAGGTTTTGGACAGAGCCTGAAAGAGTTTAAATTCAGATGTGATTTAAAAGTGTCCAATGGTTACATCCTACCCAGACTTAAACTCTTATTTTCCCCTTTGGATTGCTCTGTCCACAAGATTATAGTAAAGGATTTCTTCTCTCCTGCTTCTTCTAATTTCCTTACAAACTCTGGTGAGAAAACCCAAACCCAGCCTTAATCCTTTCTCCAGTTGAGCACGACCATCCCATGGCTTTTCAAACCACCACTTCCAGTTCTCCTGCCTCAATCAAGAGAGAACATGGATCAAATTGATATTCCAGTTGTTCCCTGTGTTGTACCCACCTTCCAACACAGAGGAACAGCAGGAGGCTGCAAAATGAGAAGACAAGGAAGGACAGGGCCATGGTTTTCTTGCGGCCGATCCGGTCGATGATCCAGAGTGTCACCAACACCCCTGTGGAAGAGAGCAGGGGAGTGTTGGGAACTGAGCAAAGGGGGAGGATGGAGCAGTTTTTAACAGTCTGCATTGTTTAGATTTGAGATTTTGGTCTCTCTTTCAAATACTTTGCTGCTGTAGGAGTGAACAATCCACTCTGCCATCCCTTAAACACTGATTAATCCAGTGGTTCCTCAGGTGAAAGCCAGAAATGCCTGACTATGGCTCGCTGGAGTAACTTCTGACCACTATTCTCTGCTCATCTTCCCATTGCTGCATCTAAGGGCTCTTTAGAAGTTGATATTTTCTTTCCATTCTGTTATTAGATGGCATTAGGACAGTCAGACCAGTCCCATTTCTGGTCCCAGAGCCCCCTCCCATCACCCTGAGCAGGGAAGAACTGGTGCTTCCTATTGCCACTTACCAGGGAATTCTGACAGGGTTGTCCAGAGCAGGTCTGTGTAATCCTCCTCTGTCAGATACTCACAGGTCAGGCTGCACTTTGCTTTAACTTCCTGCCTTCTGCTGGATACTGGGGGAGGAAAAAGGAAAAAAAATCAAATATTTCATGTATTATAAGTGATCTCTTCTCTGTTTACACTCCTGGTGTGTGTTTATCACTCTGACTGCTGTAGTTTAGGAAGGGCTGCAATGAAAGGACTGGCATTGGTTCACTGTACCCACAACGCTTTAAAAATACTTCTGGAAATTCATCTATGGATAGAAATGCAAGTGATTCCACCCCTTGGATTTAATTGTTTTTCCTCCTCTGAATGCCTAATGTGTTGCTTGGATGGAATCCACAGTCAGAGGGGCCGTTCCAGAGCAATTCCAGGTGATTTTACCTGGAAGGCAGAGCTGACACTGAGCAGTTTTATAATGTTTTCTGTGGCAGGTTTCACACCACTCTCACAATGAAAACTTCCACCTCCTTATCACCTGCACAGCGTTAGTTATTTTTCACTCCAGGGCTCAGGACAGAATTAACCTCAGAAATTCAGTTTCTCCCCACATAAACTGGGATACCAACACTTCCTGTGCTCTGAGAACACTGAATAGTCCCATGTCCTTGTAAAGCCCAGTGTTTTCCCGGGCTGCATCCTCCTTTGGGGAGGAAACCAGAGTTAGACCCCTCAAATCCCTGATCACTGCTGTGCAACTGTGGGATCTGGGTCTGCTCCCAACACTCCCCCTCCTCTTTCTGTAATTTTCCAACTTCCAGGCAGTTTTCCCTAATTACAAGTGTTCTGAACACAATCATCCCTCCCCTGGGGAATCAGACTTTTCAAACCTCTTCTTAACACTGTCAAAGCACCTTTTTTTTTCCTCCCTCCAAAAATCTGCAACAAAAAGGACGATGATTTCCTCCCATTATCTTTTTTTCTCAGCAGGTTTTCCCATCTGGAGAACCCAGGAGCTCCACAGCAGCAGTTTCTCTCTCTCTGAACTAATTAGCTCTGTCAAATCTGCAAACTTATATTTATTCCACCACTTTTTTTCCTCAAGAAGAACAGATAACAGGTCTCCCTTGAAGGTTGTCTTGCTGTTTTACACTTTGAGTTCAAAACCACTGCAGGATCTCTCTACCCTGTGCAGGAGATGAGGAACAGTCTATAAAAATGTTTAAAATAAACTTAAAACTCAGCCACATTCCTTCCCAAACCAACAGCAGAAGGTGATCTAATAAAAGATATTCCACCAATTTTAACAGGGTATATTTAAGAAGAAAATATGGATTAGTACTCACTGCTGCAAACATCTCCTGCTTGGAAGAACTCTGTAGTTAATAAAACTAACCCATAATATGAAAAGGCATTGGAGAACCTGCAAGGAAGCAAATGAGAGAGGAATTCTCAGCTGGTCAAACTGAGATTAAACAACATGAATCAAAACTGAACCCACTGTGGGAGGACATGCACTAAGTGCTACCTCAAAGCTATTTCCTACCAGCATTTAGCAATTAAAGAGCAATTTAATTGGGAATGAGGGTGATTGGGTGGTTTAATGAATTACAAATCAATATACATTGGGGTTTTGGGTTTTGTTGGGGTTTTTTTGAGGAGGAAGTTGCTGTATTTGAGTAACACTGTAAAATACCTTCAATAAAAAGCACTTAGAGTTGTGCTGGCACTGAAACTTTGTGTTCCCTCTTACCATATAAACCAGAGTAACAACGTGGTCCATCTGAAATGGGGGGTGAAAAGGTCCTTCATTTTTCCTCGGTCTTCCTGTTGAAAACAAGCAGAAATCAGATGATCAGGGAACTCAGGGGTCCTGGGCTGGAGGATGCAGAGTGGCAAGAATCCCAAACTCCCAGAAAGGGTTGGGTTGGAAGGGACCTTGAAGATCACCCAGTCCCACCCCTGCCAAAGACAGCTAAAGTGTCAAAGTCCATCTTGTCTCATGAATTCAGATCCGGGAATTCCCATCTGAGCTCTTCAGCCTCGGGGCTTGATTTTCTTTAATAACAAGGCCTTGGAGTGAGGTTAAATAACACTAATGCCCACTTTAAAGGTGCTTTTCACTTTCAAACTGAGAAATTAACTCTTCCTCACTGTGAAAGAGGAAGCATATGATCATCCTGTATTTTTTCTTACTGGTTGAGGCATTAAAATCAAACAGAACATCGATTATTTGCTAATAAACTACACATCACCTTGGCACAGTTCCACCGTATCCCACATTATTGAAGTGCCTGGACTTACCTGTCTGGAAATGACCAGTTTTCCCAGAGGCATTAGAGCTCCATTTTCTGTTGCTATCCTCTTCAAAGTGGCAAGTGCTTTCTCCTGGTTCCCAGACAACACATCATACCTGGCACTCTCCGGCAGCCACTGAGGGAGCAAAGCAGGTCACACGAACAGGGATGTCACAAACAGCAAGAAACATGCTGGGATTTTCCTTGGGAGAAATCCCAGTGACTCCAGCACAAGGAAGGATTACAGAACTAATCTTTAAGAATTCAGAGAATCATCTCATCAGGCTTTAAAAATGACAACCCCCCATTTTTCCCATAAACTCAGAACTCCAGAAGTCTTTCCCTTCAGTTCTCTTGGGTTTATCCTTGAGAAGTGTTGGACATTTGTGCCAGTTCTTTCCACTACATCTTCCCTGTAGGAATGGCAAAGCATTCAGGGCAAAAAAAATTCCAAAATTCATATTTTTAAGCTCCTTTTAATTTCAAACAAGGTTGGGAGCACCTGTATAACTGGAGGAATTCTTGAAAAACTAAGGAACAATAAAAACTGCTAATCCACCTGACAAGGACATTTATCTATAAGGAGATTGAGTGATTGGCAAATATATCACCTAATAAATAATAAAACATATCACTGAAGCTCAGGGTTAAATCACATACATCTTAATTTGGAATCTGATCTGGACTCTGCAGATTTTACCCCTGATTTGAGTGAATTTTTAAGTGGAAAGTGATTCTAAAATCTAAAGAGCATCTGGGAAGTATCAAGCACTTTTGATAAAATGTTGATTCCCCTGAGCTGGGTTGAAACAAAGTCATTAAATTGGAGAGGGTTCCAGGCCTGATTTCCCAAAATTCCAGCCCACCATTGTCCTCCAGCAATTAGAGACACACAAACACAGCTCTCCCTGGAATGGTTTTAGCAGCACCCTGTGGAAACAGCATTTTTGCATTACTGCAGATATTTCACAGAAGACACCAACAGAGAGCTCAAAGCTGCCGTGATTTCCTTCAGCTGGGTCACAGAATGGGGAGGAGAAGTGGGAATGGAGGGAACACGTATTAATCCTTGGAGGAAATACCTACAAAGCACAGGCCAGCGAAGAGCAGGAGCGGGAGGGCAGAGAGGATGAGGAGCCAGCGCCAGCCCAGCGTGGGCATCACCAGCACTGCCAGGAGCACCTCAAACACAGTCCCAAGGGCCCAGAACACCTGGGGAAGGGAAAAGAAACAGCCACAGGTGAGGATATGAGTGCTCCTAAGGTCTCCTTCTTTGCAGCATTCCAGGATGTGCTCTCCAGGGATGGCTGGAGGGAGAAACGCCAGAGACATTTCAGGTCTGTACGTGTGTGGAAATAGAGCCCAGACACTTTTGGAGGGATTTGTTTAAAGGTTATAGGGGTGAAAATGTTCATTTCCCAGCCTTCCAGTGCCTAGAGGGGGCTTACAGGAAGGCAGGAGATGGACTTTTCACAAGGGCCTGGATTGAGAGGACAAGGGGAATGACCTTAGGCTGAAGGAAGGGAGATTTAAAGGGGTTATTGGGAAGAAATTCCTCCCTGTGAGAGTGGTGAGGCCCTGGCATAGGTTGCCCAGAGAAGCTGTGGCTGCCCCATTCCTGGAAGATGTGATGCAGCCAAGTAACAGTTCTGGCCCTGACTTTCCAACCATCCATCAAAGGGCTGTGAATTTTGCCTTAAAATATTCATAAGGTGAAATTCTGCTCCCTGTGACTTTGACACATTTGGATGAAGACGTGGAGCTGAATTTAGCCCTGGATTTATGGACCAGTCATTCCTCCAAATCCATTACTGAGCTGTAGATGAATTTCACCGTGGAATTACAGACACCCAGTGCCCCCCTGTGCTCAGAGCAGTCAGTCTGCACCCCTGGATGGAAGTTAATTTGCAAAAAGGCAAATTCAACACAAAGAGAGGAGTGTGATGTGGAAACTTTCTGTCTTTTGGATGTGAGCTGGTACCAGATAACTCAGCTCCACACTGATGTGGACAGGCAAGGCCTGACTGCAGCTCTGGGGGGGATTTCCAGGCAGGAGGATGGAAGGGATGTAACAAACAGCAGGATTTGTCCCTCCAAGGATCAGCACACACTGCTCACCTCTATTAATAAAATGCACTTTGCTCTGGCTTTCATTGGAAGGAACTCAGCATATAAAGTTACCCTGCAAAGAGAGAACAGAGAGAAAATGTCATGTTAGCACAGTGAGAAAAATGCCACATCAGCACAAAGACAGAAGTTCAAACATTCCCTTTGGCTTTTAATTAAATTGCTAAACCCAGAGGAGTAACTCAAACCCCTTCCTGTCCCCCAGAGCCAGCCAGGCTGACACTGGGGCAGACTCCCCTTTCTACACCAGAACCAACCCTTCACCATTGCAACAGAGGACACAATTTGCTCTTCTCATGTGATTTTGTGACCCCATAGTTGTTGTCTAAATGATGTTTTCACAGCCCTGCTCTGGGCCAGGCCTTGTATCTTTTATTTCCAGTGTGGTCCATCAGAATCCAACACAAACTCTTGCTGGGGAAAGTTTTTCTTCAGGGCTTTAAAACTGGCTCAGAGAATTTCACATCAGTCTCCTCTGCCAGGGTTCAATTCTACAAGAGGGGAAGACTTTCAAGGTCTGATCATGTTACTAGTATAAAATAATTTGCATTCTTTTATTGTGGGATTCCAAAAGAAATCACTGAGCTCTGCAGAGGCTTTGTTCCATGACTGTGCCAAAGGGAGATGGCTCAGCTTCTCTGGGAGTGTTTCCTGGGGATGAAGGCAGGGCCAGCAGCCAGTCAAGGCTCCCTCATCTTCTTCAAACTGTCTGCTCAGGCTTGTCTTTGCTGCTTTGCTCCTGCTCTGTTTGCATTCCATTGACTCAGCCTGTTTCTGCCTCTAAACTCCTCAGGCTTCCTTTGAGGTTTGTATCAAAATTCCTACTAACTTAAGGAATAGTGGATTGATTTATGAGGAGCTGCCCAGGAAGCAAAGTACAAAGTCACTGAAGTACAAAGTTACACAACATTATATCAAAGCAGGGATTTAGAGGAGAAGGAAAATCACATCTTGAAACGTAGGAGCTGATAAGTGACCCCAACGTAAGGACATGGAATTGTTGGAGCAAGCCCAGGGGAGCCCACGAGGCTGATTAGAGGACTGGAGCACCTTCCCTGTGGAGACAGGCTGGGAGAGCTTGGGCTGTTCAACCTGGAGAAGAGAGGGTTGTGTGGAGACCTCAGAGCACCTTCCAGTGTCTCCAGGAGAACTGGAGAGGGACTGTTCATCGGGAACTGCAGTGACAGGACAAGGGGAATGGGTTCAGACTTTTTAGGTGAGATATAGGGAAGAAATTCCTCTCTGTGAGGGTGGTGAGGCCCTGGCACAGGTTGCCCAGAGAAGCTGTGGCTGCCCCGTCCCTGGAAGTGTCCAAGGCCAGGTTGGATGGGGCTTGGAGCAACCTGTTCTAGTGGAAGGTGTCCCTGCCCATGGCAGGGGTTGGGACTGGATGAGCTTTAAGATTCCTTCCAACCCAAACCCTTCTATTCTATAATGCTGTACAGAACTGTTTTCCTAAGAGAATATTCCACATTCCTGAACACTCCACACCCTTGCAGCTCTGGATGTTGGCTCTGTGAATGAACTTTCATATTCAGCATTAGACAGCATCTCACAGACAATTCCCAGAGGAGGCCAGAGCTTCAGGTGCAGCTCTGTGTCTACACGTGGACAGAGGGATATGTGCCACAGTCAGTTAATGGATTAGTGCTGGAGGTTTTTGTTTTAAAGGCACCTTTCAGAACAATCTCTCTCTCATAGCCATTAGTGAAGATGCAATTACAAAGATATTCCATTGAGATTCAGCCACTCACCTCTGGAGTTACACAGCCTGCTTAAGGATATTAGAAAGGAGCTACTCCTCCTACTTTGTGAAGAAGTCAATGAGCCATCAATCAAAGACAGACTGACTACTCCCAAATAGCACCTCCACAAGGCAAAATATCAATTATTGATAAGGACAAAAGACAGAGAGAGAATGGCTGAACTCTTCTCTTTACATTCATAATTAAAAGCCTAGAGCAGAGTTAGTTGTTCCAGGTGGGAGATGTATGGATCCCTCTCTTCCATGAATGGAACGACACAGCAATAGAGAAATATCCTGATGCTGCCTTTTATCTCTGAGCCATCACAGCACCTTCAGTGCTCCAGGTTGGGGCTGAGTGGGTTTGGAATTCCAGCTCAGGTTGAGACACGGAAGTTTAGGCTCTGGCTGAACAATAATCTGTGGTTTTAGACTCAGCAGTCAGGGCTCAGCTCTGCCTCTGAATGCTGGTGTTTAGGTCATGACCTGTCTTGCAACAAGACCAAGGTTTGGATCAGCTGAACAGAAACAACACTTCAATTGGACATAAACATTTTATAAAAAATGAATAGAAAAGAGGAATTTGGACTTGTGAATATTTACTTACGACTGAGGCACTCCTCCAATCCCAAATCCCACCAGGCCCCTCAGCACCAGGATCCAGCTGTACACGGGAGCAAACCCACTGAGGATCCCATAGTAGAGTGTCCACAACACACTGATCTTCAGGCCCTGCATTAAACAGGAGTTAAAAAAGAGTTTCTGCTGTAACACAAATTAACTAAGTACACAACAGAGCTAAATATTCCCTTTATTTCATGGGAGGTCAGTTCTGGATGTGCTTAGTTCTGCTTTGTGCCTGTGGACTCTGACATTTGTGACCATAGAATCCCAGAATGGGTTGGGCTGGAAAGGACCTTAAAGATCATCTCATTCCACCCCCTGCCATGGGCAGGGACACCTTCCACTAGCCCAGGTTGCTCCAAGCCCTGTCCCACCTGGCCTTGAACACTTCCAGGGACGGGGCAGCCACAGCTTCTCTGGGCAACCTGTGCCAGGGCCATCATGCACTGAAACATCCCCACTGCAGAAATATTGGGATAAATTCCAGTAGGAGCTGCAGACTTACTGTTTTTCTCCCATACTGGTCTGAAATGTTTCCCCAGAGGGTGGAGCTGGACATCATTCCCACAAACACCACCTGTGAAACATCAAGAAAAAATTTTCCCCTTAAACACAAGACAAGTGAAAATCTCTGTGTGACAGCAAAGAAAACAAAACTTCCAGGGAAAACAGAAAATTTCAGCACTAACAACAGAGTGACAAGTCCAGGAGGTCATGGAATGGTTTGAGTTGGAAGGGACCTTAGAGATCATCCAGTTCTCTCTGGCTTGGAGAGAGGAAGCAACAAGGCACCTCTCCAGTCAGCTTTGCCATTAAAATTCCATCCAGTGACAAACCAGTCTGGCACTGGACTGGGCACTCTGGTACACTTGTTTGCTCTCTCACAGCTCCCACTGCGTCTGTGTCCAAGGGAGCTTAAATGTGAGGAGGGAGAAAGATTTTCAAGCAAGACAATCAGAAGTTACCAATCTTTATTTTCAATTAATCTAACGGTTTGAATTTTAGGATGAGTCTCAGTCAACTCATACATTTTCCTGGAAATTACACGAAACTTTGAGCCTGAAACTTCCTCAGTTCTCAAGTTTCATGGCTTTTAAAAAAAAAATCTCTCTAATCTTCCAAGCCAAAGGCAATCTGCAAAGGCCATGCAGAGATTTAACTTGGGGATACAAAGCATAATGTCAGGATAACACTGAGAGGAAAAGCCTCAGGGAACACAGGAGCTGTGAGTTGTTTTCCTACCGAGGTGAGCAGAGCCACCTGCCAGCTGGGCAATCGCCACTCACAGTGGAGCTGGGGAGCCAGGATGCTTAAAATCATCATTTCCATGGCATCTGCCATCTGCAGGGGGAAAAAAGAGCAAAATAAACCACTGCCTGACAGTTAGAAGGACATAGGAGTCAATAAATACACCTTGTTGGAATTTCTGTGCCATTCCCACTCCGTGGTGGAGCAAACACAGCAACAGGTTCCCTTTTAAACTCATTCCTGGATGTTGTGTTGAGTAACTAATTTCTGATTGTTGTGATCAGTAACTCTGGCACAGAGGATTCAAAGAGCCAAATCTGAAGTTATTGGGAGGTGATTCCAAGGAGTCACCCAGGCTCAGTCACGTCCACAGTGCAGATTCCAGGGACGAGCTTTCAGCTCCTTCACACACAGATTCAGTCAGAATTCTTTATTACCTTATAACTTATTCCCTCTCTCCCTTATACCTGGATTTGTACCAAATATGTTGGTAGATCATCTGTAGGCCAAATTCCACAGCTGATTTAGGATCTAAAGCGTGGCACATTCCAACCTTTTACATGGGTCTGAAACAGCATTTGAAGTGGAGAATCAAACTGATTTTTCAAACCCTGATTTACAAGAATTTGAGAGACAAAGAATTCCATCGGTTGTTCATTACCCCCAAATAACAAGTTTGACTCCTTGGAATTCCTTATTTTAGAATTTCAAGTAAAAATTCCTTCTTTGCTGTACATTTATCTGTTTGGAAACTCTCTGTGTCCATGATATGAAATCCCTGAGGTTCTCTGGTGACCATGCAATTGGTGCTGATCCCAACTACTTGCCCAGGCTAATCCGGTGATGACAGAGAGCTTCCACTGGAACTTCCCAAATCCAATGGCTTCCACCGCATCTTCCACCATGAAAGTATCTGGAAAGAAAACAATTCCAGTGCAGGAGTGGATTTCTCAAGAGCCATCCCTTGAGAGAGCATTTGCTGTGAGTACAGCTCCTAATTAACCAGGTAACCTGTTGAAATCTCAAACATATAACTCAGCTGCTTAGTTTTAATACAGTTCCTACTCAGGAAAATCCCCATGTTCTTCAAGAATGGTGCTAAAATCAAAATAATTTGAATTATTCCTGGAATATTTCAATCCCATAGAGGTAAATCAATGTGGCACCAGCAAATCCAGCACATGTTCAGCCTCTCACTCCTGGGAATGACTCCTCCAGCCACTGAACTGCAGCTTGTTCTGGGGAGAAATAAAAGCTGTGCAACAGCCCCCAGCAATGCTGGGAGCTGCAGGGAATGTCTTATTGCAGGGAGGGTCAACCTGGAATTATTTAAATCAAGAATTTGTCCAAGACACACATATCTTAAAGCCTATTTCTGTTCAGAATGCTGAGGGTTGTTTCCCACACAGTGCCATGACCTCATTACTTTGTTTCAGCTGAAGATGCTGAGATATCTCAAATTCCTTTGCTCAAGTGCAAAAAAATGAACTGAACAAGAAAAGCACATTTTGATATTTGAGCTGTTCAAGTCTCACAGTTGTAACACTTCCAGCAGTTTAAAAAGGATATTCCCCACAGAAAAGCTTTGTCTGGCTCAGAGCTGCCCATCCTCGCTCAGCAGAGCCCAAACCCACAAACCAAGAGGAAATCAAACAAAATCCAGTGGATAAAACAGAGCAGAGATGTTCATAAATAAGATTAATAACATCCTACCAAATTGTCACCTGCCTTGTGTAAGACAAAGCCAATATTTCTCATCTCTCCCAAACCAGTGCTGCCTCCAGGCAGGGAACAGAGGCTGGGATGCCCATTCCTCCTGTCCCTCTTGTCCTCTAGGAAAGGAGAAGATGGGAACATTGCAGATTCATCTCAGCCTTGAAGGAGAGCCAGGTGTACCTGCTCCAGCAAACCTGGCAATGTTTTGGGAGCAGGATCAGTTCTAAGGCAACTAAGAAATAGTGGTGACTGGATCTACAACTCCTAAAAGGGTCTGTTACTGGGGGTACAAAGCCAAACACATGGAGCGTCCACAGAGAATGGGGTGATTAAACCAAGATTTCCAGGCGTAACATATTTTGCCTATGTCATTATTTCCTGCTTTTCTCTGGGGGTCTTTCACTTCTCCAAACCCAGTGTATCCACCTTGGTTAGATAAAGAGGCCACACCTTTCCCCTGTCAGGAAAACCAGGGACCTACTCACCATCCGTGGGGTTGGCAAATTCCTTTGGCACTGCAGCTCCATCCTCCAGCTCCACAGGTTCTAACTCTGTCCTGACCCCCTCAATCTGCACCTCGTGCTCTCCTGAAATTCCATCCTCATCCGACCTGGAGCTCTCCCCGGTGCGGCGAAATTTCACCACCCTGAAACCAGGAACAGGGATTAACACTTCCATGGGCTATTCCAGGAGCTGGGCTTGGTTAGTCTGGGGCCCTAAAGATCATCTAGTCATCCCCCTGCCATGGGCAGGGACACCTCCCACTAGACCAGAGCTCCATCCAACCTGGCCTTGAACATTCCAGGGATGGAGCAGCCACAGCCTGTGCAGGTCCCTCTGGATCCATCCCTTCCCTCCAGGAGGTGACCCCATCACAGGGCTCAGTGTCACCTCGCTGAGGGTGTCCCTGATCCAGTTAGAGTTTCTGCATCTTCCCAACTGTAATTTTGGAGGTGATGGATCCTCACAAAGGCAGAGACTGCTCTGAGAATCACAAATCTGAGCAGAGAACAACCTGTCTCATTCCTCAGTGCAGCAAATCAAAATATACATTTATCACTCAGGAATATATGAAACAAATGGACACAGATGAAGGGAAAAAACCCCAGGGATATTTTCTGTTCCAGACTTGCAAAATCCTCCACTGCTGGGACATCTCAGGGAGCTGCTGCATTTATTGGCAAGATCTCCCAGCACAAAACACCTGATTACACCTGCACTGGGAGGCATTTTGGAGCATATTCCTGGGTTCTGGTTTAAAAAATGGGAAAACCAGTCCAATAAAATAATGTCTGATCCCTTTTCCTGACAAGCTGAAGGCATCCTAACTAAGGATCTGGAAATAACTGGAGTTAGTGGCCATTTCCCAACTTATCAGGAGTGTTATGGGACAGTTTGCTCTGTCATTGACACGAGCTCATGAATATTTAACACAAACTTTAAACATTCATTCCCTGCCTTGCAGAGCCAAGGGTTTATAAATAGGAATATGTTGCAAAGCACCTGAGAACGGAGCACGGGGAGAAATGGGGTTGGTTTTAAAGGAAACACTTGGCATTGAGGGAAAGGGAAGGAAACCCCGGGGTTAAAGGCACAACGGTTTTATCACTTTTTTTTTTTTTTTTTTTTTTTTTTTTTTCCCCAGATCCAGCGACCACATCCCAAAGGCAAAGAGTTCCTGGCAAATATCAGCCTTTTCCTTGTGCAGCAGCGTTTGCCTCTCCAGAACCCCTGGGAATGTCGCTGGTCCTCCCCAAAAGCCCCTTTGCAGGGCAGGTTCTGCTCCGCAGTCGCTCCCGGCAGGAGGAGGAGGATGGGGAGGAAGAGCCTCCTCAGCGTTATTTACAGATAAACCCCCTGCAAAGGCGATTCCTACCTTCCCTCTCCCAAAAGCCCTTGGCACTCGCACGGTTTTATCCCACCTCTCCTGATTTTTACCCCCATGCAAAGGAGAAACCCCCCCAAATCGAGGGAATTTATGTAACGAACGGTTCCTGCATCCCTGGGGATGCTGAGCCCGGGCAGCACAGCGGGAAAATGGCCTGTTTCCCGCGGCCTAAGCCCCTTCCCGGCAGAATTCCCGTAATCCCGGCGGGATTCCCGCTGTCCCCGCGGGCGGAGGGGCAGGACCCCCCCCGGCTACTCACGGGAGCTGCCGGAGCTGGAACAAATCCTCCTCCATGGCCGGGCGGGGCGGCTGCGCTCATCGCTCCCGCATGGCGGGGTCGGGATCGGGATGAGCGGGATCGGGATGAGCAGCGGGAGCGGGATGCGGGAACGGCAGGAGCGCCGGGAGAGGCGGGATGGGGCTGGACAGCTCCGACGGGAACGGCCGGGCCGCGCAGCCGCTCGCTCGCTCGCTGGACTCGGCTCAGCCGGGCTCAGCTGGGCTCATTTCGGCTCAGCCGAGCACAGCTGGGCTCGGTTTGGCTCGGCTCGGCTCAGCCGGACTCGACTGGGCTCATTTCGGGTAGGCTCGTATCAGCCAGGCACAGCTGGGCTCGGCTCGGCTCGCCTGCGTTGGGCTCAGCTCGGCACAGCACGGCTCGGCTCGGTTTAGGTGGGCAGGGCTTGGCTCAGTGGGGTTATTTCGGCTCAGCTCAGCACGGCCCGGCTCGGAGTGGCACGGCTGAGCTCAGCTCGGCATGGTTTGGCTTGGGCAGGTTCGGCTTGGCTGAGCTCAGCATGGCTCTGCTCCGTTTGGATGGCTCAGCTCAACTCAGCTTGGTTTGGCTCGGCTGGACTGTGCTGGGCTCAGGTCAGCACGGCTCGGCTGGGCTGGGCCGGCCTCAGCTTGGCTCGGTTGGGCTCGGCTGGGATCAGTTTGGCTCGGCTGGACTGGGCTGACCTGGATTTACCATTGCTGAGCTGGGCTGGGCTGAGCTTAGCACGGCTCGACTCGGCTTGGCTCAGCTGGTCTCAGCTCAGCTGGGCCCGGCCCAGCCGCTGTTCCGTGTCCCTGAACAGCCCCAAAGGCTCCATTTAAAGGCGATCTCGAGGTCCCGCAGGACCGGGGGCGGTTGGAATATTGGCTCGGGCCATGGAACCCCTGCGGGTCGAAACCCCCGTGGGGTCCAACCCCCCCCCCCCCAGCCCGGCCCAGGCCCCCGCGCCCCTGTCCCCAAGTCCCACCTCCGGGGCTGTCACACCCCCCGGGCTGGGGTGACCCCGGACGGCCCTTTCCAGGGTTTTTTTTCCCGATATCCAACTGAACCTCCCCCGGCGCCGCCCGAGCTTTGGCACAGGGCGGTCCCGCCGCTGCCCCGGGGCTCTGAGCACCCTGCTCGGGGGCTGCGGGCCGGGCGGGGCAGGGCCGTGGCCCAGGACATCGGTACCGGCCCGGGACACCGGTACGGGACCGTCACACCGATACGGGGCTGTCACTCCAGTACAGACCCGGGACACCGGTACGGGCCTGTCACTGCCGGTACCGGCCCGTCACCCCCGGTGCGGACCCGTCACACCGGTACGGGCCCGCCAGGCCCTGTATGGGCCCGCCAGGCCCTGTATGGGCCCGTCACGCCTGGTACCGGCCCGTCGGCCCCGGTCCGGGCCTCTCTCCCCGCTGTCCCCCCACCCCGTCCCGGGGTCCCCCCGCTGCCGCCCGCGGCCCTCCCGCCCCCATGGCCGGTCCCCCGCAATAACCGCTCCCCCCCGCGCCGCTTCCGGCGCCGTCGCCGCCCGCCCGGTCCGCCCCGTCCGCCGGTCCCCCCCGGTCCCCCCGCCCGCGCGTCTGCGTTCCGGCGCGGCCATGCTGGGGCTCGGCGCGGACGGGCCGGTGCGGCGGCTGCTGCGGGCGGGGGAGGGGGCCAGGTGTGAGGGGAGGGGACAGGAGGGACGGGGGAGGGGGCCAGGGGTGACAGGAGGGTGTCGGGACACCGAGGAGGGGGCTGGGGGGGCTTGGGGTGGCCGGGGCGAGCTCTCGGCCGACCCCTTCCCTTTTTCCTTTCGCTTCTCCCCTTCCCTTTTCTCTTCCATTTCCCCTATTCCCTTCTGCCCTTCCTCTCCCCTTCCCTTCTCCCCCTCCCTTTCTCCTTTCCTTTCTCTCCTTCCTTTTCCCCCCTTCCCTTTCTCCCATTTCCTTTCCCATTACCTTCTTCCCTTCTCCCTTTCCCCCTTCCCTTTTCTCCCTTGTCGCTTTCTCCCTCTCCCCTTTCCCCGTTCCCCTCCCGGCCGGCCCGTGTCTGTGCCCGTGGCCGTGCCCGTTCCCATGTCCGCATTCCCGTTTCCAGGCACAGGGTGATGCGGCACTGGGGTGTTGTGGGGGGCGCGGCGGCGGCGCTGGCGGCGGGGCTGTACGTGCTGTGGGGGCCCATGGGCGGCAGGAGACGGCGCCGGAGAGGTACCGGGAATGGAAATGGGGGGACAGGGAATGGGGGGGGGGCACTGGGAATGGGGGGACTGGGAATGGGGCTGCTGAGTCGCTCAGCCCGTGTGCTTCTGTCTTCTACACCTTGGCACGGCACCTGTTTCTATTTTCCACTGCCAGAGGGCAGGGTTAGATGGGATATTGGGAAGACATCCTTCCCTGTGAGGGTGGTGGGGCTGCCCCATCCCTGGAAGTGTCCAAGGCCAGGTTGGAGCAACCTGGTCTCGTGGAAGGTGTCCCTGCCTGTGGCAGGGGGTGGGACAGGGTTATCTTTAAGTCCCTTCCAACCCAAACCAGTCTGGGATTCTATGAGATAACAAATAAGACTGAAATAATTTAATTTTCACGCAGTTATAGCACCTAACACAACATTTCTACTGACAGATGGTATGTTTTTCCCAGACTTCATGGTGTAACCTCTCACACTTCTCTTTGCAGGGCTTGTCCCAGGCCTCCTGAACCTGGGAAACACGTGTTTCATGAACTCCCTGCTCCAGGGCTTGTCCTCCTGCCCCTCCTTCATCAGGTGGCTGGAGGAGTTCACAGCCCAGTATAGGACAGAGCAGAGCAAGTCCCAGGAGCACCAACACCTTTCAGTCACTTTACTGCAGCTCCTCAGAGGTATTGGAATGTTTTCCTCTTGTGGTAAACTAAGAATAAAATATTTACCATAAACATTATAATTTTTAGCCTTTTTTTCCCAAAGAAAGAAGTTCCTGTAGTTTTATTCCCTGTTTAATTTCCCTCTGTAATTTTGAACCCCTTGGCCAAGCTCAACCACCTTTCACAGAGGGGCAGAATTCTATAAAAAAAGAAATCCTTAGTAAAGAATTTAAGCATTTTTTCCAAGATTTAAATTTTCCAAAAAATCTGGACTATTAAATGAGATACTTTGGATGATTTTGCATAAGAATATTAAAGCCTCTGAGCTCGAGGTGACTCATTTCAGACTCGTCCCTGTGCTAAATTCATCTCAGACACATCTTCAAAATGACCCATTGGCTCTCCCTGGCTTCTCTCACAGGGGTTTGGTTTAAAGGAAATCCCTTGGAAGTTCTGTCTTGGGATGTTTCTACTAAAATGGTGCCAGTTAAGATGTGCATTGAGCTGCTGTGGGGATGAGGGGGCTTTAACTTGGGGGTTGTGACCTGTGAAATAGCGATTTTCCCCCCATTTCTGGCTCCCCTGACATTTGTCCATGCCCTGTTCCCAGCTCTGTCCTGCCAGGAGGTGACAGAGGATGATGTCCTGGATGCCAGCTGCCTGCTGGAAGTGCTCAGGATGAATAGGTGGCAGATCTCCTCCTTTGAAGAGCAGGTGAATCAGGGAACATTCCTGGTCTTACCCCTGACCAGGGATAATGGACCTGGAGCTCTGGGACCAACTGCCCTCAGTGTCAGAGCTGACTCCTGCTTTAAAAAGGAATGGGAAGCAACCATGGGATTGAGGGATGGGGTTTTCAGTTTGCTGGGATATTCCTCATGGAAAGCCTGCCTGCTTCCAGACCTCAGGATTACCTTCAGACTTGGAACAGCAGAGCCAGGAATATTAAACCAGATTAAACCAGCAGAGATCCAGCCCTACCTTCCCTATGGCTGATGGATCTGTGCTTTGCTTCCAGGGATGGGCTCCACTCACAATTCCCCATTTTCTTACTTGTACCATCCAAGATTTCTAACCTTTCCAGGATTTCTATTCCTTGTCAGTGTTTCCAGCCCTGGGTGCAGTTGGTCAATGAACTCCATCAATATCTCACTCATAAAGTACATTCTGTATTTCCACGGATAGATTCCAATTAAGCTTTTATTGAATTCAAGGAAAACAAGTATTTGGGCTTAAATTCTTTTATTTTTTCCTCCAAGTGTTTTAGTTTCTTGTGAGTTTATATGGCCCAGAATATCTTTAATACTCTGTGCTGTTATAGAGGTTTTTGGCACAACAGGTGCACAATGGGTGTAATTAATATATTTTATATATTTATATATTTATTTATATACTATTATTAAATGGTATTGTATATATTTATATTATACAACATTATTTAGTAATATTTATTATGTATTTATATATTTCTATTATATTAATAAATACGTAAGGTGGGCTCTGAGCTGTGATTTTTCCCTGATTTCCCGGGGTTTTTCAGCCCTCCTGGGGTGTGTTCTGAAGTGTTTTGGTTCTCACTGTATTCCCAGGATGCCCATGAGCTGTTCCATGTCCTGACCTCTTCCCTGGAGGATGAACGGGACCGGCAGCCCCGTGTGACCCACCTGTTTGATGTGCACTCCCTGGAGGTGACTCCTTTCATTTCATCAGCAGGAGTTCCTGGAATCTGCCTGGATTCCCAACTGTTCCAAGTGTCTGTTTAGAAGCTCAGGATATTTTTATTATGTTCACAAAGCTGCTCTTTGGTAGAAATTAATCCATATGTCAGGCAATTTAAAGAATTTAAAGAAAATGTCTTTGAATTTACACTTATCCTACTTTCCTGAGGGTTTTGCATCCCTAAATCCACTAAATGTAGGGATTTAAATACTAGCACAGAGCAGGAGTCCATCTCAGCAGTTACTCTTATAATGAAAAAGGCTTGAAAACTGTAAAATGGACATTTATGGGGGTAAAATTTATCTTATCCTCCAGTTCAGTGATAAACTTGATGGAAAGTTTCTATCTCTTTTTGCCTAAAATATATACAAAGGTATATAAAATCTCATATTTTAGTGCTCTGAGGCAGAGAATTCTGTAGATTAATTATTCATTTTATTAACAGTGTAAATTATACATTTGCTTTGTGCCAGGTTTTTTTGTTCTTCAAATAAAAAGAGCCACTAAAACTCCCACAGTTGTTCTAATGCCAGAAAAGCCAATTAGGGATGAAATAGGAACATATTTAATTGTTTCTAAGGTTAATGAAATCTTTTTATCTTCCTCTGTAGCAACCAGAAACAACCCAAAAGCAAATAAGCTGCAGAACAAGAGGTAGGATTTTATCCATTCTGGAATATGAATATTCATAGGGGAGTTGCTTTGTTTATTAAGGGAATAATATTAATTGTTCTTTGTCTGTATTGGGCTGAAATACACCTCAGAAATATAAATAAACCCCCATTAATTATTAGCAGTGGGCCAGAACATGCTTTGGAGCAGTTAATTTTGTTACTGTGGGGCAAAAATGTGGAATTAAAGTGATGAACGTGAATGTATGGAAAATAAAAGGGTAATTGCAACCTTGTGTTGCAGGATCTCTTCCCCCTGTGTCAAACCACTGGAAATCTCAGCATCCTTTCCATGGGAGGCTGACCAGCAACATGGTTTGCAAACACTGTGAGCACCAGGTACAAAACCAGCTGCTTTTATATATATTTATTTCTTTATTCATTCAGTTGTCTATCTATCTGTCTAAAATAATTGAAGGAATAAATATATATATAAATATATATATACATACACATGTATAAAATGCGTGTGTGTGAAAATATGTAATATTTTATATATAATATGGTTTTATAATATATATTTTTTTATATGTGTATGAAAAGGGACTTAATTTTTCAGCTGTTTATTGTGGTGTTGGTGAGGAATGAGAATTTATCACTATTTATCACTAAATATACTGAAGGAAATGAAGTGTGATCCACTTTGTGGGGATAAAAGCTATCTCATCAAACAGAATAATAGCTGTCATCTTATATAATTAATAATATTACCTGACAATCCACTCCCATGGGTAGTGGTTTAGGACTCGCTGTTCATTCAACAACTATTAAGATTGCAAAGGGGAATTAATTTTCAGTCCAGTAATCTGGAATGAGGAGGTGGAGATAACCTGGATAAAGAAAAGAAATACAGAAAACAAATCTCATTTATAGTTCAAACTGTAGGAGTTCATTTCTCCTTTTCCTTCTCTAAACCTTGCAAACAAATTTAAAGGAGCAGGAAGAGGCCCAGTAGTGCCTTAGGCCTGGTGTTCCTGGTGCTGTGCTTGGGAAATGGGGCTTTGGATCCCATTCCACCAGGAAATTGTGGACAGCACAGGGCAGATGTTCGTCCTGTGAGAGTTTGGTTGGGTTTTTTTCTGGCCTGACCTGAGTTCTGGCTCCCTGGATATCTGGAATGTTCTCTTGCAGAGCCCTGTGAGGTTCGACACCTTCGACAGCCTGTCCCTGAGCATTCCAGCAGCTGTGTGGGTACGTATCCCCCTGCTCCAGGATCCAGCCTTGGAACTGTGGATCCCCTTGGAACTGTGGCTTTCCGTTCTCTAGTGCCTTTGTCAGGTGCTTCAGCCTCAGAGTTTCTTTTTCTGCCCTTTTATAATCCTGTGGTGCTACTGCAGGACCTTCTCCCTGATGTGTTGGTGCAAATCACCAATGAGTACAACAAACACAGGGACACAAGGAGGGTTTTCTGTTTCTCCTGGTGAAGGATTTGTCCTTCCTTGGATTTGATCATATCCCAAGGGCTGCTCCCCACTGTGGGAAGGTGCCCTGCAGCTGCTGTCCCAGTTCACACCTTACCCCACACGGGCTTTTCCATCCAGTGATTTCAACTGGGAATTGTTTCCATTTCTTTTTGGCTCTGATAAACTTTGAGTGCCAAAACACTGCAGATTTTGGGGGGCAAAATGTGCAGGATATTTTTGCATTTTAACACTTTGTTATTTCATTTCTGGTAGTGGTTTGTCTTCCCAGACAGGGAGCAACTACTTGCAGTCATGGAAGTTCTGATTCCTGCCTGCAGAGTGCACTCCTGGACAGCCAGGATTGGGATTTGGACACATCTTGTGCTATTTGGGTTTTGGTTTATACCATCATTGAAGATGATGCCCTTCACCCCTGGCAGTGGGGTGGGACAGGAAGGAAGCCTAAATGCAATTAAAAGCTGTATTTCTCCTGTGCAGAGGCTCAGAGAGCACAAAGTGACCCCTGAAATGCTGGAACTAGACAAAAATAGGACAGGAATCTGTGATTTAAAACCCCACTGAAGGAGTCACACAGGGAGTCGCAGCTGTTCTTACCCACAGGCTTCCATGTTTTCCATGTTTAATCCAGGCTGAGGAAGAATCCTCACAATTACATTATCCATCTGCTACACCCACAGCCATTTAGGCATTTTTTTCAAGAAATAACTGTGCAATTCTGTAGTTTCTCTGGAAAAAATTATTAAAAATCCTTTCCCAAAAGTCAGTGTCTGAAATTCCTGCAAGTAACTTTGGGTTTTCTTGGTACTCAGGGCCGTCCCATGACACTGGATCACTGCCTCCATCACTTCATCTCCTCCGAGTCTGTGAAGGATGTTGTGTGTGACAACTGCACTAAAGTAGGTCGTTGGAATTTCTACAACCTTTGAGCTCAGTTTTAACCCTGCTGACACAATTCTGCCTTCAGTTTTCAACTCCTTTTCCTTCATGACTTGAAGAAAGACTCTGACCTGCTTGGGATTTCAAATAGTTAACATGGAGTTCTTATCTCAGGGAATATTTTGAGGCTTTATTTTTTACTACTATTACAAAACTTAAAAATGTTTTATTCTGTAGTTGCCAGGTATTATTTAGATAGTATTTGAGATATTTATTTGTTCTGGTATTGTTTGAACACAAACAGAAACATCAGCTGGAGGTGGGGTTTGTTCTGGAAGTGTTTCTGCTTGATTTTGGTTTGGAATTCTGATCCTTTAGGATAGGCCAGGAATTCTGAAGAAATTCCTAGGTATAGTTAATGCCCTGAGCCCAGTTCTAGACAGACAATTTGCAGACCTGCACTATGATGTAGAATTGGACACAGCAGTAACCAAATGGCCTTATTTTATTTCCCTCTGATTTCAGATCCAGGCAGAAGGAATTCTAAATGGGCAGAGCATAGAAAACCAGAGAACAACATTTGTAAAGCAATTAAAGTTAGGAAAGGTAAGGCAAACTAACCCTCCAAACCTCTTTCTAAATCCTGTTATACAGTAACTTCTTTCTTTCATGTGTTGCTTCATGTCCATTTCTTGCTATTAGACCATTGTAATGTTTTACTTTTAAAAGTAAACTCATTTGGCAAATATTTGTGGGCATTGAGGCCTCAGTTCAGCCAAACATCAAACTCTAAAGAATGTGAATATTCTACTGTTATTCAGCAAAACACTTAAATGTGAGTTTGGCTGGGTCACGCCTTGCATTAATTCTTGATTTCATCTACACATAACTACTTGACCTTTTTCCCCTGTGCAGTCCATTAGTTATTGAGGATTAGCACATCCCAGGAATTATTGAGGATTAGCACATCCCAGGAATGTCTCAGGGGTCTGAGCTATTGCCATGTCTTGGGGACACTGTTGCCACTGAGCCCACACAGAGACAAGGGAACAGCTCAGGGATGCATTTCCTTGTCCCCTGGACTTCCCACCTGTTTGTTTGCATTTAAAATGTGTTCTGATCTTCCTTTCCTGTGGGATGTTTCTGAAGCTGCCACAGTGTTTGTGTATCCACCTGCAAAGGCTGAGCTGGTCCAACCAAGGCACTCCCCTGAAGCGACATGAACACGTCCAGTTCAATGAGTTCCTGGTCATGGACATCTACAAATACCGAGTTCCTGTGCAAAAATCCAGCCACAAAACCCCAGAGGAGACCCCTGGAACAAAGGATGGAACAGCAGTGAAATCTCCAGGTACTTTGCCAATAAAATATATCAAGTATTTCTGCATTTCACTGAAAAACATTCTGATGTGCAGAATGAACACAAGAACAGCATCTTCACATGGATCTGTGCAAAGAGGGCAGGGAGAAATCCCTTTCCCAGCCACTGTTCCAAATCTACAGTTCAGTTTTGATCATTTAATTTTATCCTACTAAATATTTAAAAAATCAGAAAACATTATAAAAGATAGCAGAGAACTCACATGTTTTATGTTCAGAGGAAGGAATGTTGAATTTGGAATGTGCCTGGATTTTTCTTGTTAGTGATCTGTTCTAAGGCTCCAGGACAAGCAGAGAAGGAATGCTGGGAATGGTGAATTCTGGAAAAAGAGTTGTAAAATCCAGCTGTAGTAAGGCTGTCCTTTAGGCAGCTCAATAATTTGTTCAGTTGGGATTTTGTAAACATGGTAATTTTTGTATTTGTCATGTAAAAACAATCACTGCTGTGCTTGGATATTGCAGTCCTCTGGATCTGGAAGGGAGTGTGATGTGTAAAGAATTAGAATAAGTAAAATACAGTATCATAAGTGCTGTTATTAGCAATGTAATAGTAGCATTTAAGTTAAATCACTGAATTTCTCCTTCCTCTGGCAGAAGCAGAACAAACCCCTGGTACCAAACCACTCTTCATGAATGGTGCCTCCTCCTCCTCCTCCTCCTCCTCGTTTTTAATGTCCCCAGGAACTTTTCCACTTGCTGCATTCCCTGAGTGCAGGTAAGTTAGAGATTTGTACCCTGTCTGTCCTTCAAATTGTCTTTCCTTTAGTCTGTCTTTGTCATGAGGCTGCACAGGCACAGAACTTAACATCGGTCCCAGCTCCTGCCCTTGTATCTTGGCTGATTTTTAGTAGTTCTTTTCTCTCCTATAGATCTCTTAGAGATTTCTTTCAAACATTTAACAAGCTGGAGATCCCTTATAGATTTCCCTCAAACA